GACATGGCATCGATGAAGGTGCTGTAATTTGTCTGCAGGCAGATCAAGTCCGAAGATATGCTATATCGGTTCACGTTTAGGCATAGCCCCCTTTTTTAACCGAATTCACTGAAATTCGGCACATTGTGTTCTTATTATGTACCAAATTTCTCCACTAAAAATTTAAAATATTGGTCCACTTTTCCTGGTAGACCCCATATAACGGCTAAAAAGTATGGAATTCTAGGACGATATAGTCTCTTTGGTCATTTGTTGTAATCATTCTACCTTCGGAGGATATTGAGATAATAATGTAGAACGTCAGGTTGGAGAATAAGATATATCGGACCGCATTAAGGTCTAGACCCTATATAAAAATACCTACAGGTCTAATAATTATGGTGAAGGAAGATATTGTGATACATACTTTGCCCTGTAAATTGCAGTATTTTGTGGATTTCATACACCTTCTCCACTCCAAATATTCACAAAATTATGAAATGTTGACTTTGACATCATGTTATTTGTAAACCGCGACCCACAATGATAAAAAAATGTTACTGGTGCAATGCTCTATGTCCCCAGATTTTCCTCTCTACCTGAAATGAACTTTTGTATCGATTCAAATGAAGATTTCACGAACGATTGAATTGAGTTATTATTTTTATGAATGTATGTTTATAATACACTACAACTTCTATACTAAAATAACATTTATTTCATATCATTCAGTTTATACAACATATTTTAATTCCAAACAAATACAAACAAAAAAATTCACTTACCGTTTGCACGCTAGACATCCATTCGTTCATGTTTAAACGAAATAAAATCAATTTACAACAACAACAATTTGAACACGACCAGCGGCTATAGTTATTGAAGATCAAAACCTATGATTTTTTTATAAATTCACTAATTTCCATCATTTAAAAAGTAATCAACTTTACGGCAACCGATTTGCAAATCACATTCAATAATAAATACAAAAAAAAAAAAAAACAAAGTAGTAATAAATATGCATGCAGACGAATTGCAAGCGCCGACGCTTCATGTCAGTGTTATGTATATACATATCTACCTATATTTCAACTAATTGCAATTTTATGCAAATTTAAAAAAGTCTACCTTTAATCTTGATGGAGATAGGCGGTGGAATGAAGGGTAATGCAATGTAGTGACTGAAAACTAGCATCAAGACAATTAAATAATTACACGTGTCTTTATTCGTGATGATTTCTTTGGCCAGGTAAATTGTATTTGTAATTGTACAAACAGTGTATTTACATATTTCTTCCCAAGATATATTTTGGCATGCAAATATGGTTAATCATTATATTCTGGTTTTCGTTTTTCTTTTTTTAGGAATCGGTGTTGCCGGCAGATATATAAAAGCTTATGGTTTGCGAAGGTCTTCGGAATTACACACTGATTTTATATTAGCTTTATATAAAAACCAGTGAGCGGAGCAGTATAGTCGGACGGGGCCGACCATACGATACCCTACACAACTACCACGGAACTCAAATTTTCTGCGGATGTTTATTCCAAGACTGGGCAATATTTCGTGATATTTGCACCCTCTTGCCCGATTAGAGGTAAACAGCACCTCTTCCTCACACTGACATATCTTCCGAATATTACGAGTATTCAGTACAGCTATTGTCCAGATTCCCTTCACCGTGGGTTGTGTTGTGATGTTCGGCTTTCATTTGAGGTCTATAGATCGACTCGAAAATAACACAAAAAATTAAGTTTTCGGTCCACTTCATTCCAAAATTATTATCTAATCATCACCGAAAATTATAGGCGTTGTCCTTGACCATAACTGGAACCTCATGGAACACTTCAAAGCGATCAGCGCTATAATTCCGCTCTCCAGAGTGATAATGGGTTACTAAATAATATACGAATACGGAGATACCTGTAAATATTTAGGTGCAACTCCCACATCCGAGCACATACAACAATATAATTGGTCTTAATTTAAAGGTCAACCACTCCTCCTGGATATAATATCAACTTCTCGGGTATATGTCCTTCAGGGGTAAATATATGCGCCATAGAATACAAATTTTGTAATTTTTCACACAAAAGTCAGGGTCCATTTGACCCGCTAAATATTGACCGATCTTTCTCCAAACAGGCATGCTTATTCTTTGGCCCGATCCGCTTCTCCATGCAAAATTTCACGATGTTCGGACCATTGTTGCGGCCTCTGAAGCGACCAGAAAAACCGACAAAAATTTAGTATTTCGTCCATTTCATCCCTAAATATTAACCGATCTTTCCCAAAAACAATAGGGGTCTTGATTGGCCAGAACCCATCCTACATGCAAAATTTCGTGAAGATTGGTCCATAACTGTGGCCTGTATCGTGTTTACAAATTATAATGGACAGACGGACGGACACACATGTCTAGATCGACTCAGCTAGTCGAGATATGACGATCGGTATACCTAAAGGTGGGTCTAGGACCAATATTTCGCGGCGTTACAAACTTTTGGGGCTGCACTAAGCTATAATACCCTGACAACATAGTTGTGTAGGGTATAAATATGTTTTCATCAAAGAGGTTTCGGATTTGATGTTGATAAAATTTTATGAAATATTGAAAATGTTGGCCCTCTGTGGGAGAGGTACCAAGATGAGTGGACCATTGGGTCCCATCTTCAAACTTGATCTAGGCTTGGTAAAGATAATAGGTTGTGTAAAATTTTGTTCAAATCAGACATTCAATTCGCCATATATTGGATTTACTAATATTAACAAATTTTGACCATTTGTGGGGGAGGTACCAGAAGGAGTGGACCAATGGGTTCCATCTTCGGACGTAATATAAACTAATTAAAGATAATAGGTTGTGCAAAGTTCGGTTCACATCGAACATTTCATTCGCATGATATTGGATTAACAAATATTGAAATTGTTGACCATTTGTGGGGGAGGTACTAGATGTAGTGGACCAATGGGTCCCATAGGTTGTACAATTTCAGTTTCATTAAAATCGGATAGGCCGTTTGCATGTTTTTATAAAATTAAATTTTAGCACAATTTTCACAATTTTGTGGGGGAGGTACCAGAAGGAGTGGACCAATGGGTCCCATATTCAAACTTAATCTAGGCTTGTTAAAGGTAATAGTTGTGCAAAGTTTGGTTCAAAAGGGACATTCCACTAGCTTGATATTAGTATTATAAATATGGAAAATTTTTACCCTCTGTGTGGGGGTAGGTACTAGAAAGAGTGAACCAATGGGTTCCATCTTGGTAAAGATAATAGGTGGTACAAAGTTTCGTTAAAATCGGATAGTCCGTTTGAATGTTATTATAAAATTAATTTTAAGAACAATTTTGGCCATTTTGTGGGGAGGTACTTGAAGGAGTGGACCGATATTTCCCATCTTCGAACTTAAACTAAGTTTGGAAGAAATATTAATTGAATGAAATCGGCTGCAGACGGACAACGGACGGACATGTGTAAATCGACTTCTGAAACGGATTTGGTCCAAAGAAAAATGGGGTCTAAAACCAATATTTCGATGAGGCACATTTTCACCGTATCGAAGTGTATATACCCTCATTAGCAATAAGCCTGGGGATATAACTAAATACAATTTTTTATACACAATAAGGTCACAAAAAGATATAACTTCATTACTCATAAAGTATTGCGTATAAATTAAATGTTTTGCAAATCATAAACATAAGAGCGGGGGCTATGCATTTGATTTCTACGTTTTTACTCGAAGTAGGGTAGAAAAACGTCTTTCAGCTGATGCTGTGGTTACCGGTATGGTTTTTTAGATTTGTAACAATGTATTCTACAATCGCATCAAGTGCATTGGATTGTCAGGCATCTTTCGCTTTCCACATAGTAATCCACAGATTCACTTTCAATTTTTTTTTTCATAAAAATATGGTTTCTTGAAAATCTTTACAAATAAAATTTTGTAATTTTCGATAGTGTTTTACAATTTTTTTTTTTCAATTTACAGAAATGGTCTTGTCATATTTACAATAAGTTCGTCCATACATGGGACAAATAATGTAGTTCTATAAAAATATTCGGAGTTGGAACTCATTACATTTGACCTGTACTTTTGCGTACCAAACATTCTTGGCACTGAATCTTCTACTTCTTAGAAATAAATCCGAAATAAATCTTACCCTTTTCGCCTATTTCTTCCAACTATTCTACTATCTCTTGTATAGCTTCGTGAAATATTTGTACGCAATCATGGTGTTCAAAACCCACCGTGTGTAACCATATTCTACAATATTCTACATAAAGTAGTAGACCTTTTTGGATTTTCTAAAGAATGAGCAAATTTCCCCGAATTGTAGAAAATATACATCGAATTTCTTGAATATTCGAAGCTGTATTTAAAATTAATTTTAAAATGTGAAAAGTATACCGCAGAAATAAATTTGGATTTAATAAGAATCTGCATTCTATTATAATTTCGTGACATATTAGATGCGTAGCCATAGCCTTGACCTCTCAAAAATGTTGCATCCGCACCCAATCTGATTCTTTTCCTGTTAATCCTTCTAATTCCACGTAGCAAAGGAAACACTCGTACTCGTCACACGTACGTCCCTGCCTTTTCTACCCAATAAGAACACAAAATACTATACTAGAGCCGATTACGTTAAAAATCTGCTCCCTAAAATATCAAATACTGGAGGTGAAATTCCGAACATCCTAGGAGAGAGCTTTATGGTAATTACGCCATCGAGTTTTTTTCCGATCCAAATACAGCCTTAAAAATTTCGTGATTAAGTAAAATTGTTTCCATGGTAAGTTTATTTATTTTGTTTATTAACAGTTCAATTTACATTGGAAAATATTAAATCATTATCGTAGTGTCCAACCACAATCGTAGACAGACAAGGACAGTGCTACTAATAAGTTTATGAAAATGTGTTCTATAACAACACAGACAATTTACCGTACATATTTTTGTAGTTATGTAAATAATTTGGTATTATAATTCTTATTTTCCCTGTTTCTTTATAGAATACCCCGTATGCCTTAAAAGATACTGCAAGCAGTACAGCGGCTTGGACATCAACGGCGTTACAACCCTCCAGTTATTATGCCTACGATCCAACGTTTGGTGCGTGCGGGTAAGTGAAAATGTAAGTTTAAATGGTGCAAAAAATTGTCAAGTGCAACAAAGCGAGAATGAGTGTAAATTTTCTGGGAGATGGGTGGATATATAGTTAAAAGTTTAATTGAGATTACCACTGTAAAGTAAAGTAAACAATTTTTTAATGAGAGGACAATACATCAGGGGAGGGACCAGCTATTTATAAATACAGCTGGACATCATGTATAGATTTCTCATTTACTCTCTCTGAGAGATTTTTATATTTTTGGATATAATACTTAAAATAGCTGTACAGGAACATTACTATACTATAACAAGTGAAAAAGCATTAAGTTCAGCCGGGCCGAACTTTGGATACCCTCCACCATAGGTATACTGACAGATACTTGAAATGAAAATATAGGGAACATACCAAAAAGTAAACCTATACCGATAATTCTACAAACCGGTTTATGTAAACCATTGTGTACACCAAATACAAATTTCAGCAATCCTCAAACTTCTTCAATTTCGATCACGAAGTTAGCATACATACTGTAGGAATAAGGGAATATTTGGCGTTATAGTTATATGAGGGCTATGCCTAATTAATGACCGACATATGTTATATGTTTCGAACCCAATATATTTGTTTTGTGTGTCCGTCCGTCTGTCCATTATAAATTGTAAACACGATACAGGCCACAGTTATGGACCAATCTTCACGAAATTTTGCATGTAGGATGGGTTCTGGCCAATGAAGACCCCTATTGTTTTTGATAAAGGTCGGTTAAAATTTAGGGGATGAAATAGACCAAATACTTTATTTTTGTAGATTTTTCTGGCCGCTCCAGAGGCCGCAATTATGGCCCGAACTTAGCGAATTTTCATATGGAGAAGGGTGTCGGACCAAAGAATAAGCATGCCTGTTTTTATAAAGATCGGTTAATATTAAGCGGGTCAAATGAACCCTGATTTTTGTGTGAAAAATTACAAAATTTGTATTCTATGGTGTATATATTTACTCCTGAAGGACATAGACCCGAGAAGTTAATAGTATATCCAAGAAGAGTGGTTGACCTTTAAATTGATATCAATCATATTGTCGTAGGTACTCGGATGCGGGAGTTACACTTAAATATTTACAGGTGTTTACGTATTCATATATTATTTAGTAATCTATTACCACACTTTAGGGCGGGTATATAGCCTGATCGCTTTGAAATGTTCCATGAGGTTCCAGTTATAGTCAAGGACAACGCCTAAAATGTTAGGGGATGATCAGATAATAATTTTTCGGATGAAGTGGACCTAAAACTTAATTATTTGTACTTTTCGAGTCTAAAGCCGAACATCACAACATAATCTACGGTGAAGGGAATCTGGACAAGTAATTAGGCGGGCTGTACTGATTATTAGTAACATTTTCTGACCTCTAGCCAGTCAAAAGTGTGCACATATCGCGAAATATTGCCCAATCTCAGAATATAGAACCACAGAAAGTTAGATTTTCATGGAAGTTATGTAGGGTATCATATGGTCGGCCCCGACCGAATATACTGCTCCGCTCACAGGTTTTATGATGATTTCCAGCGAAATCGGTTGAAAAACGCGCTCAAGAATTCCAAAATATCGAAAATTGAGGGATTCTTATATGGGGGCTACCCGAAAAAATGGGCCTATATTTATTATTTTTAGTGAAGAAATTTGGTACCCAATAAGAACCCATTGTACCAAATTGAACTTGACCTGCCTGCAGACAAAGGACTCTATGCAAAATTTTTGGCTATATATCTAAATTCCTTCAGAAGATATAAATACTTTATAGGGTCGGAAATGAATATTTCGATGAGTTACAAACGGAAGGACAAAATTAATATACCCTCCATACGATCTGGCAGTCGACGTGAAATTTCTTTCCCCTGTTCTTCAATGAAGAGCCATCATTCGATCTGACTAAAATGTGTCGATTTAGGATTCCATTGCACTACACTTTTGTGCGACGTATTTCGCCCTGTATCGATCCACATATACATAGGTTTAAGTTTTCAGGCTGCGATGGCCGCTTCAAATTTTATTTGGATATAAATTGAATAATCTAGTCTTCAAGGCCCCAGCTCCCTGGACTTTCTGTAGTGTTGTTACTTTTATCCAATGCTGTTCCCCAAATTGCAGAATCAAATGGTAGAATTGCTCTAATTTCGCTTTTATAGATCCAATGTATTATCCTTCGAATCCATTTTAATGCACATCGCTATTTGGTAAAAAGCAATGCATTTGTAGATGACTCACAAATATTTAAGGTTATTTTTCCTAGTTTAAAATTTCTGATAAAAAGTACGTATGTATCTCCATTTTGTCCGGAAGGCTCCTCGGCATCTCTTAATTACATTTTGTCCGGATTTACAGCCTCCCTGCCTAGTATAGTCCGCATAACAGACTGATTATAATCCCTAATTGGTTGTGGTGCCGACATTTTTTGAAAAATCCCTCGATATCAATGCAAACAGCTCATGTGTACATTTATTATCAAAAATATTCTCAATATGGTGCACTGCCTAGTGTAGAATCTGATCCATATTAGTATATGCCAAATTAGAAATGTTATGGATTTTTTAAATTAAAATATTGTTCAAACTGGTTTAATTACGGCACACCTGTCATTTGGCAAGAGTAAATCCGAATTATATGATAAATTAAAAAAATAATATAATGCAAATTCGTATTTAATTATACACAATACTTTTGAAAAAAAAAGCCGCCGAATCATTTTTCAAAATTATTATTAACTTGTTAGGCAATAATTAAATTGAAGACAATAAAAAAGTCTTGTTATTCTTCACTTGTGATCTTGTTGGGTGTCACCTGTGACATATCATAAAGTATACAAAATATTGTTATTAACTTAGAAAGAGTCCGAAAAAAACGTAACGATTTATGTGCCATTGTATTGTACCGCCAAAGGAAAGCCGAATACATAAATTAAAATAAATCATAAATTACACCTTTTTGGGGGAGAACCGAACCGTATTTAAAGTTTTGCAAATCAAATTCATTGATGACGTATGGCATGATTTTTTTACTCTTCAATTCAGTTTTTTTTGTCTTTTCGACTCATATGCAAATAATTTTAAAAATCGATTTATGTAAATTTTTATTTATTGTACTTAATACACACATACTGCCAGACACTGAAATAAAATGCAAAATAATACAAACATTAAACACTCACACGCACGCGGCTGTCTGCATTGAAAATCAGTCAAGCCAGCCGAAAAAAAACAGAATCCAATTGCATCTGATGCGTCAATTGTTGAAAAATAAAACTTCAGGCAAAAAAAGAACAGAATACAACAACAACAACAACAGACGAGATCAACTCATTGCAATACCGACCGTCTGCCAACTTCGCATTGCCAGAGGCTAGGGTTTGGTGGGAATATTCGAAAAATCCCTTTAAAACACAATGTTAAAAGAGAATTTAACAATATTATTAAAACCAAATGTCCAATAGCGAACAAAACAATGAAGGCTTTCCATACAATGGCAATAACCTTAAAAATAAAGTGCACAGAAGCAGTGATGGTGACAACAACTGCTACCAGCCAACTGGCCAAAAGTAACATGAACTTTAGCCATGTTTATAAATTCACTTTATATTGGGGTTGCACTTACCGATGTTAAGGGTCATGATTGTGGTTGTTTGCCAACAATAAAAGATTTTTACATGTACATATGTATTTATATATTGTATGCTATTTATTTATGTATATATTGGTTAAGACACAAACTACTTTAATATGAAGATTTAATATTTGTGAAGTAGAATTTCATCCTTCAAACGAGGAGAGTTATCCAACTGCTTCCCTAATATAATGTTTGTATACATTCAGTTGATATATTTAATGTGTATGCTATTTTATTATACTTATGACCATTCAATATGATTTGGGGCACATTCGCTAGAGTTGTGTATCAAGTGACACCGTCTTTTTGAGACCAGTGTTCTTAAATAGCAAGCAACAAAGTCGGTTATCATATGAACAAAATGGTCCGAATCGACGAAACATTGCAATCATACCCTCGGAACAAAAAGCACACCAAACAGTGACTCTTCCTAGAGTTGGTGTCATCTTTTTAATTACTTGAGGATCCCAGAAGCCCAAGTAATTAAAAAGATGGTTGGACGATTGGACGATTTTATAAAACATTATACCATCTTAAAGCACGATATATTGTTGTGGCAGTACCATCACTTTTATACCATTAGTGTTATGGCATTGCAGAAATGTTCCGCATCGAAATATTCGGTTTATTCCAAGGAAACGTATGGTCTAACCATCTTTCTTTGGACTAAATTCGTATCAGACAATTTGGAGTCGATTTAAAATGTTGGTCTGCACTATGGGCCAGGCAAAAAGACAATTTCAGGTAGAGTGGACTTTGAGCTTTACACCAGTGAACTTTTATATCATTGTGGGTCACAGTTTACAAATGACATGAAGTCAAAGTCAAAATTTCATATTTTTGTGAATATAATTAGTCTGTTCCTGTACTTTTTTAATAGTAAAGCTAGTAAAATATAAACATTTCAAAATCGCTCTCAAAATACAAAATAATTTGAAAAGTTTGGGAACGCAAATCTGGTAAATATGCCAAAATTAGTTGGCAATACTTCAAAATCAACATAACCGCCAATCAGAAGTAGGCATTCCTATTTACCATATTTTCTCGACCATACTTCTCGGGTAAAAAGTTTACAAAGAGAACGCCATTTTCTTTTGTGCTATCTTAAATTTGATTCAATGTTTTACAAGTTGTGTGGCTTAAGGAACGTTTTTTGAGTAAAAAGTTGCAAAACATGTAAAATTAGTCGATTTATTTAGGTTCTGGAACGGAACTAATTTATATTTGAATCTGTAAGGAAAGTTTAAAAGCCAGACGGGGCCGACTATATGATAACCTTCACCACTTTGTGTACACACAAGAGATGCTCATACGTACAATATCCTTTGCATAGAATGTACATAGCATCAT